CAGGCCAACCACAGGTAACTAGGGTCAGCCAACGTCACAGCGCTAGCTTGAGGCAGCAAAACAAAGGGGAAACTGGAGACTGCCCATTCAAACCAGCGCATACGGAGCTTAAAATATCATCTTGTTGTGATGTTAGGTGCCAGAATCGACGTAATACAGCCTCAAATTAGAAATTTGATCGCATATCCACTGCCACACAAAAAAACGACGACAGCTGTGGTTAAACGAGATAAAACGAGCAGACTGGACAGAAACAATCGTCAAAAATGCTCGCGTTTGCAGCACACACTTCTTATCAGAAAAGGTTCAATAAAGTATTGTCTTTTGTTGTTATGGGTGCATCTACAGATTTCTTGCCATATGTCTGTTTCTTGCATCTCACGACTATGTCGTGTATGAAATCATGTCTGTGTGGATGTGTGTAAAACAACAAACTGACGATTTATATATAATCATTTGTAATTGTATATACATTGTTGCGATTAATTGTGGCTGGAACAATAATGTAGCTAAAAATAATTGCCCGCTGAAATTGAAATGTATATACATCTTCATCATGACTAAGTTAGACACGGTGAGTTTGTCTTTACTATACACGTTAGATGTGATCCACCTCATAGTAACAATCCTGTCAGATCGTCCATTCTTTGAGTGAGAGTGTAACATTACAGGTCAGCCGATCTGGTTCCGTGGTTAAAGTTAACCTTTTCGACATGTTTCCATGTTGTCGTTGCTCAGCAATGGCATGGACGCGATGTTGTCTGGGGGTTTGGCAAAAGGAGAGTGGGACAGTGGGCAGTGCTCGGGGTGGTGACTGAAGGTGGTGACTGTGTAGTTCTGACGTCAACTTTTTACAGAAGTCACAACGGTTTGTGAAAAATCACAGCTACTTGATGCAGGCTGTGTGCATTTTACTGTGGACTGACTGTTTTGAAACTTATATGTTAGTTAAATAGCCCCTAGACCTCAGTTATCGTGAAAAAAGCCAGGAAATTTCAGTTTTGACGATATGGGACCTTTAAAGGACACATGGTTAGGTTTATCAAAAGGATAAGTTACTATAAGAGAGATATCAGTGATGTTTTTGTTAGCAAAAGAAATGCATGAAGATAGAAAACCTAATAATGTTGTTTTGGTGATGAGGCTCTTAATATCTCTTCAGGCAGCTCCAATTGTGTCAATCTTCTGTGTGATTGCAACTCTCATTTCATTCTGACTGATCCATGTGGGGCATTGCTTTTATAGGATGACATATTAAAGAGGCTTTTTTAGATTCACCCTGAAGGCATTCTGTCATGAAGTCAGCTCTCTCTACTGCTTGGCTGTCTTTCAGTGAAACTGTAATGGCATCAGGATTGATATATTGTATATGCTTTTAATGCATCACTATATTGAAATATCTTAACGCTTCTTTTTAATCTTTTCTGCACAATTAATTTGGCTCAAAATCCCCTTGACACTGAGATGAGTTGACCCACATTGATATCTCAGTCAGTAAATAAAAAGTTATTTATCTTCACTATTTATTATTCATTATTGTTGTTTTTTTAAAGAAGTCTGTTAAGTTCATCAAGGCTGCATTTATTTGTTCAAAAATAGAGTAAAAACAGTAATATGTTGAAATATTGGTAACATTTAAAATAACTTTCTATTTTAACATATTTTAAAATAATAATTTATTCCTGTAGTGGCAAAGCTGAATTTTCAAGAGCCATTATGCCAAGTGTCACATGATCCTTTAGAAATCATTCTAATATGCTGATTTGCTGCTCTAGAAACATTTCTTATTATTACCAAATGTTGAAAACTGTGTAATATATTGGTGGAAACTGTGATACATTTTTTTTTTTCAGAATTCTTTGATGAATAAAAAGTTCAAAATAACAACATTTATTTGTTTTGCCGTCACTGTTGATCAACTTAAAGCATCCTTGCTGAATAAAAGTATTAATTTCTTTCTAAAAAATCTCCACACATTTGAACAGTAGTGTATGCAATATCTAATAATATCCACTTTTTTATTTTATTTTTATTTTTATTTTTTGGTTATTTGCCTTTAACCTCTTCAGTGCTAATGATAGTATTATGCAGCATTGCACAAAAACAAGCTGTGTCTGAAGTTAGAAGTGCATTAGATAATGAACACACAAGCCGGTGTGTAAGAGGAGGCTGCCAGGCTTGGCTGTAAAATGTGCTTATAGTGTGTGTGCATGTGTGAGAGAGAGCTGTCATTGTCACTGCACTGCTCTAATAGAAGCACTGACGTGCCCATCTTACTGTGATATTATGGTCAATTATAGAATGTTCTTGATAATCAGATGTACTGTAAATTTACAGTAATCTTAAAATCTGAATCGAAACAAATTACTTTTTTATGTTGAACCTCACACTCACTCAAGCGCACTTCATCCCTGGCCGTGCAACAGGTGGCTCGTCTGGGCTGATAGATTTAATGACACTCAGAGCCTCTGTCCGGACAGACCGCGGCCTGTGCAGAAGGAGCTTTGTCAAAGCTTGGAGAGGCTGATCTTTGTGGCAGTAAACGTTTCCTGCTGGATTCAATCGTTGATAATCCAAGTAATCCCATAAACCAGCAGACTCCTCCCTGCGGATCCTCTTCCTACGACCGTCCTATTTCGCTCATATCCCATCTGTTCCATCAGCGGCGTGAGTCTTTGTTCGGACAGGTGCTCTGCTGTGCCTGGTGAGGTTTGGTCGAGTGGTGCTCGCAGTCATGTGGCATTCGGCAGCGTTGCCTCTTCACGGTCAGAGTCACGGCAGAGATGGGGGTCACTACAGCCACTGTGAGTATCTGATAATAAGATACTCTTGTAATTCTTACTTCCTTTAAGTTCCCAGGAACAACATGGCTGGTGCATCGTAAGGGAAGATGAGACAATTGTGCTGATGGAAACAACTGGAGAAAAAAAAATATTAGACTGATTTCAAAATTGTACATGGATATGTGCATTTTAGAAACGTGTTGGTGTGTCGTGTGGTTCATTGTCATGAGTAAAGAACCTGTTATTTCTAAGCAAGGGACTACACAGCTCACATTCATAACTGGAATTCGTGCTGGAATTGTTTTTACATTACCAAATGGAATTGGGAAAATTAGGCTATTATTTTTTATTTGGTTTCCTGTTCTCTTTGTCTGCAATTGGTTTGACAAATGGATAGTCCCACCCCAAATTCATGCTGGAGACATGAGTATTTTAACATTTAAAAAATCTGCCAAATCTAACCTATAAAAATACTTTAAGTGGCATATCTAATAGTTAGGTTGATTCAATCATCTTTAATATTTTTTTTACAGTGCACATGGTGAAAGTTTGCTTGGTTTTGATTTATTTTTTTTATTTTTTTTACTGTAGGCCTATATTTTGTTATACACTACAGTGTTTTTGAAAGTTTTATGTTCACCAGAAATGCATTCATTATTTTTTAAATCAAAATACAGTAAAAATAATATTGTAGAATATTATTATAATTTAAAATAGCAATTTTTAAAAATATATTAAAATCAAATTTATTCCTGTGTTTTTAACACTGAATTTCCAGTTGGCAGTGAGAGTACTTGGCAAGGCTCTGTTCTCTGTTATAGATCAGGGTAAGGTGGCACTGGAGTATTGAGGATATTTTAGGAAAGGCTGCTTGGATCAATCTATTTCAGTATATCCCTTTATATCTCACACACTCGCGGTACTTCACCCCCTCACTTCTTTGCTTCTCTTCTGTTTCTCTCTGACAATAGTTCTGTTGAGGGGCGTTTGTGTGTGTGGGTGTGTGTAAATACTTGGACTGACAAGGACAAACTCCCATTTGATCGCACAATAGAAAGCAGTGACGGAAGTTGTCGTCACCGATTGACGGTCACTCTCTGTTGTTCTTTCTCTTTCTGTTTCTATCTTTCTTTAAGAGGTGTCAATGTTGACACCACAAATAAAACTTGCACAATGATGACATAGTATGTGAGCCTGCATGGAAGTTTGCATGTGTGTCTCATTCTTCAAACTAATGTTACATAAGACTACATTAATTTAGCTTGGAGTACATCTAGGTGTCTTTAATATACCATATATATGTTGTTTGGGAAATTATAGCTGAAACATACATTACAAGTATGTGGACATGCCTTAACAGGTTCATCTAGGCCTCTTAATTCCAGTGATGACAAATCTTAAAGGGATAGTTCATAATTTACTCACCCTTATGTCTTTGTATAACTTTCTTTCTTCTGTAGAACACAAAATAAACTGTATTTCACCATGCTGTGAAAGTCAAAACAACACTGGACCACATTGACTTTCATTGTATGGACAAAAAAAAAGAAGTATCTTTTTGGGATGAATTGGAACACTGACTCTGAGCTTGACCCTATCATCAGTACCTGACCTCATTGATGCTTGTGATTCCCTGTAGTTTCATTCCAAGGTATGTGAACACCTTTCCAGAAGAGTGGAAGCCGTTAGGGAGGACAAGTATTAATGCCTGGTTTTGTGATTAAGCACATACGGGTGTGGTGTCTGGATGCTTTATTCATATGGTGTGTTTAATCTATAGCATGCTTGCTTTTTCTTTGGGTAATTTCTGTATAAGTTACTTGCAGGCTAGAGCATGTTGTCATGCAATATGGCGGATGTCAACAGTGGCGATTGTATTGTTTGGACTTTGGAGCAAACTGCATTATTGTGTGTGCTTGTGCTAATATAATATTTTGTTCCAGAAATTTGCTTTCATAAAGTATTGCCTATAGTGTTCATTTCACCTGGAAACTGTACATTTTTGGAGTTATGCAAAACAGTAGATAGTGGCATGTTTTTCCGTTGAGTCTGGGTTGTGATTGGCAGTAGGTTAGGGTTAAGTTCAGTATTAAGAAAAACATCTTTTGAGGGTCTTTGATCATTGCTGAGATTATCTGGATGGTCTTTCAACATTGTTCAATATATTTGATATAAACACTAGAGCCTCCCTTGTCTTCATTTTTCATCCTAATCCTTCCTTTTACCAGTTCTCTTTGATTTCTTTTTTACCTCCCTCTTTTGCTGAAGTTACTTAAGGCTATGTGTAGGGCTGACTACACTGTGGTTTCTCACATGTCTTATGCTGTTAGATCCCATTTGGAACCTAACATCTAGTCTCCTTTGATAACACTTTTTTTGTGTGTAGGCTAGTTGTTGCCTTAGAGTGAGTGAGAGGCGTTCACATGTATTGGGGTGGATGTTTGTGACTTTATCCGTTTCTACTTCTCTCTTGTCTCTCTCATGGATCCTCTGTTAAACCCTCAAGCTACGAACAAGTTCAGTTTCAGGAATTTTGGAACAGAAATGGTTGTTGTCTTGGGTAATTTGCTTGACTGTTAGCCTACGTCCACACGAAGCCAGAGCTTTCCCTATCCGATCTTTTTTTTCACCTCGTCTCAAGAAATATCTGCATCCACACGAAACCATGAAACCGTCACAAAACGATGTAGTATACATGCCAGACCAGTATGTGGCGCTGTAATTCTGCCACAGAGATACACTAAAAACGGAGAAGACTTGCACTATGCGCATAAACCTTGCGCGGGGTATACAAACGAACATGGAACAATACATTTATTAATCTGTGTTAATGTTAGTTAATAAAAAGACAATCGTTCAGTGTTTGTTCATGTTTTTGTTGCTGTTACGTGACGTAGCGGTGTCTAACTAGGGGCGAGATGTGGGCTGATGACGTCATCGTTTCAGAATATATACGGATTCGCTGTCCACAGGAAAACGCAAGGGTGGCGTTTTCAGATTTATCCACTCTGGGACCCAGTTTAAAAAAATATCGGTTTCACTCTCCCAAAACACCCTGAGCCGTCTGGACGAAACGCCTATACGATACAAAATGTATGCGTATACAGCTAAAGCCAGACCAGTATGTGGCGCTGTAATTCTGCCACAGAGATACACTAAAAACGGAGAAGACTTGCACTATGCGCATAAACCTTGCGCGGGGTATACAAACGAACATGGAACAATACATTTATTAATCTGTGTTAATGTTAGTTAATAAAAAGACAATCGTTCAGTGTTTGTTCATGTTTTTGTTGCTGTTACGTGACGTAGCGGTGTCTAACTAGGGGCGAGATGTGGGCTGATGACGTCATCGTTTCAGAATATATACGGATTCGCTGTCCACAGGAAAACGCAAGGGTGGCGTTTTCAGATTTATCCACTCTGGGACCCAGTTTAAAAAAATATCGGTTTCACTCTCCCAAAACACCCTGAGCCGTCTGGACGAAACGCCTATACGATACAAAATGTATGCGTATACAGCTAAATGCGTCTCCGTGTGGACGGGGCCTTAAGCTGGCTAGTGTGACCCTTAATCAGTTTTTTTTTCATACAGATTCGGGTTTTTATTTTTTTTTGCAACAGGATAGTCTTATACTGTACACCACTGCTCTTAAGTTTGGGTTCAGTAAGATTTTTTTTTATGAAATTAGAAATGTTATTTTTGCAAGGATACATTAAGTTGATCAAAAGTTACAGTAAACACTTTTACATTTGTTACAAAAAATATTCATAATTTCCACAAAATTAAACGGCACGACTGTTTTCAACATTGATAATAATAAGAAATGCTTCTGCTGAAAATTCAGCTTTGCCATCACTGGAATAAATTACAATTTGAAATACATTCAAATAAAAAATTTCAATTGGAATAATATTTCACAGTATTACTGTTAAATAAGAGACTAAGAGATAGCATAAGAGACTTCTTTCAAAAACACAAAAAAATCGTAGACCAACCAATCTTATACCAGTGAGTTCATCCAGTGAAAGACTATTCATACCCATTAAAAGCTGACTTTAGTAGTCTTTTTGACCAATTTACAAAAAGCGTCAAGTCATTTGTTCATAAATCAGACAATTCTGCCGCATATATTTTTGCAGCCAGTGAAGACAATGAATGGAGAGACGTGTTGTCTTGACAGCATTCAGCTGCTGCTTTTGAATAGTTTTCACACTCGGTTAGAATTTAAAGTATTATATAAAGTATAGAATCTGTTACTTTTAAGTTCATTTTGATAAACAAGATGTCTGGCTGAACACAGTTACTTCACAAACTCTTGTGTAATGTTCAGTGGAACAGTCCCTGCTGATCTCTTCTGATTGTTACATTGTGACATTAACAGGGGTCATCAAATGTAAGATGTCACAAACATTACTCAGGTTTTTTAAACAAGTTCATCCTCAGTGCTTCAGAATATCAGCTATCATATGATCACGATATGATAGGATGTTTTGAAACTGATTAATGTTCCTTCATTTCCTGTGAAATTTGTTTGCAAATATCAGCTTATCTACCCAGTCAGCATTTTTATGATGACCAGTTGTAGACTTTAATGTTTAGTGTACAGTATTGTCTGTCCTTATTTTACGTCACTTTTTTGTGTGACTATAAAGCAATCGTCAGCGTAAGTTATTTTAAATGAGTGATGCATGTGACAAAATGTGCTTGTTTTGAATGCAATAATAGAGAGGTTATTACAGGACACACTCAGAGTTCATTGACTTCATGCCTAGATGTTTCTTTACTTGATACTCTATATTATTCTTTAGTTTTCACTTCACTCTAGGGTTTTGACAGTGAAGAAATTTTCCTACCGGTTAATCGACGTGTGACAACACCGGTAATACCGGTATCACCGTGGGGGGCGGGGGCGTTCCCTCTTTTTCTCGCTTTCCTTCGCTTTTAAATAGCTTGTAAAAGCAGCATGCCATTTTACTTTCACTTTCAAATAGTGGCAATTCGGCATAAAGCAATTGTTCGTTTTTAGTTTGTTTGAATTTTCACTATTTTCCTCGCTTTCCTTCACTTTTAAATAGCTCAAAAGCGCCATGCGCATTTTACTTTCACTTTCGAATTAGCGGCAGTTCAGCGTCAATTGCTTGAATGCAACAACAAAATACAACGTCAAACTCACTTTAGCCTATATATAAAACATAGAAATTTTATTAACAAAACAAATAAAAATACACCATGCTAAAGGGCAGGCTATGCCTAATATAAAATAACAAATAACTTACATAAAGTTTAAATAGGTATACAAAACTGGAAATAGGCTAAGTAAACATGTATAATATATAACCAAATAAATAAGAAACGTAGAACGTTTATTAGCAAAACGAGTAAGAAAGCTTGAAGGCACGGCATCACCTTGATGTCAAATAAAATAAATAAATGACACAAAGTTTAAATAAAATAAAAATCAGCTAACAATGTGGAACCAATTAAATAAGAAACAACTGTTTAAAAAAACTTCCAAAATCACCTTAGATGATTGATTTTTATTACTACAAAAAATCTAAACGACGGTGGAGGTCGGTGCCGCGGTGGGCAAGTGACGTAACCGGTGTTGCGGCTTAACACCGGTATCACCGTCTATCGCGGCAAGCCTACTTCACTTTTACCTTTTCAAACACTGACTTGTTATCCACATACAGCAGCAGTTATAGGCCTATGTCCTTTTTGCAACAGAACACACACACTCAAACAAATTCTACAAAAAATTTATTTCATGATTGAGAAAGCACTCAATACTGCCATAAAATAAAATCTCCACATATCCCAGACCTCCTGATGCCTGCATGAGTCCAGCTCATTTTCACCTCTGTCAGCGATTCTAGGGACATGAGCATGAACATACTGCATTATTACAGCAGTTCTGATAAGAAAAGCATGAGCTTGTGTGTCTTTGTGTGTCTACATCTGTGTGTGTATGTATGTGTGTAGCATAATTATTGCTTATTTATTTAAAGCATGGTGAATGAGATGTTTAGGTAGTAAAGATAATATTGTTGTCAGCTACATTATTTAATTTAAGTGTGTAGGTTAATTATTCACATATAAACTAGTTTATGATATGGTTGATTAAGCGATGTTGGTAACTGAAGTGTGAGGTGTGTGTGTGCAGTCCTGGGCTTTGGAGGATTATGGACACATGGCGCTAATCAGGGTTGATTTAATGTCCTGCAGCTCTCTATGGCAGACTGGGATAGAGTGGGACAGTGTCCCATTTCTCCATCACTTCTACCCCCTTCCACCTTTTTGTGTTTGTTGCCCTCCCCACAACCCCCGTCTTCTTGACAGGTGGTTGAAAATATTTGTCAGTGATGAGAAGAGTGTATAGTGTCATTATTGATCAGATGTCAACTTCGTTTAGGGCAGAATTAAGTGATTCAAGAGATTTTGTTTAAAATTGGGGGTTGGAACCTGTTGTCATAACCACTGTTTATTTCATGCAGTGGGTGTGTGTTTGTCTGTGTGGTTCCAGCCAATAATATGCTGCTAAATCTCAAAACTTACTTTTGGGGATATCCTGTTATTTAGTATTATACAATAACAAAGTCTAGTTTAATGCAAGTTTTTGCATTTCGACTTTTTTTGGAATCACTTTC